TTCAGGCAATAAATCATTAAGTTGACCTTGAAGGCCTGAGTGGATGTAAGGAAAATCTTAATGGATTGTTACCATGATGCCACCTTACACCCCAACAAAGTTTATCTAAATGAATTCAAACATTTTGAAGCTGTTTGCACACAGAAAGAATGACACATGAAAATGCTCCCAAAAACATGACCACCTTGGCGGAGTTCATAAAGACATTACTGAGCTGGATTCTATTAGAAACTATATCAAGAAATTTGAAATAGCCAAATGGGGTCAGTTTGCATAATAACTGATTAAAAAGTATCTTAAAGCACTGAATTATTACTGCTAAGCAACACTGGTCTGATTAAGAAACAAATTTTAGATTAATTTAGCAACAAACACAAAAATAAACTACTGTCCTTAACACCTAATCAATGCCAGATTTAAAAAAGACTGACATTTAATTTGAGGATGTGATAAAAATACTGCTCGAAATAAAAGAAAACAAGCCAGTTATAAGGTCAGTGGAAAAAATAATATATATCACACAAGTAGAAAATATGATTACATAATTGAAAGCAACACCACTGACCACTTTATTCATCTAGTGGGATATTATTTATACATTTACAGTCATATTATATCATACTTAAGTTACAGTGCCCAAAATAAATTAAGCTGACATTTAATTTTACTAAAGCATTCTATCGAAAATAAAACCCACCTGTCTCGTGTTGCTTTGGCCAGTTTGTCCTCAGACTTTCTGTCGTGTGTGTCTAATCCGAGCATGAAGCAGCCTCTGCCCAGCTGGGCCTCCGACTGCTCCAGCTTCTCTGACAGGTCGAACACCTGGCCCGTGGTGTAGTCCGAGTTCTGACCATGCAACACACAAACACACAGAAACTGACTCATGCACAATTTGCCACTAAAAGCTTGATAACAGATTTTCCTTTTTTTTTTCTTTTTTTGCAGAATGGCAACAAATATGTCTAAAAAGCCAGAGGAACACTTTATGGGTTGTGGTGAATGAAAAGAAGTCAGTGAAAGGTTTGCTTAAGGTGAGGCCGTGTTTATGGTAGAAAAGGTAATTAAAACACAATGACAAGGGAGGCCCCTGGCTGGGGTGACAGTGTAGCAACTGACAAAGCCCGTCACCCATAAAGCAGCCCGTTCTTGACATCTAGTCAATTCATCTTCATCCAAAACGCCAAAAAACCAACTGTTTGGACAAGCCTGATGCCTATTTAGACTGTTTAGTCAAGCTCAGGACAGAGTTCCTGCATCCACAATGCAAATTTACATGAGGGGCAAACGAACAGCAAGGGGGAAAAGGAGCATCATGGAGTCGGCTCCAGCTTTAATACTTATCTCCATTGTGAAAAAAAGTTCATGTACAGCTTATTACTAAAATCAACAAACACGGACGCTTAGCTAATAAGCAGCAATAAATCATGACATCACAAGCTGGTGACCACATGTCTAAATGAGTTATAGAGTAATAATTAACCATAAATCAAAATGTCAAACAAATAGCAAACATTTTGATTTTTGAAATGCCCTACATACCGTGAGGAGACTTGAAGAACTTAAGGTATTAACCCAATATTTATTCCAAAGGAGTTCCAGGAGCTTTCTATCGAGGGAGGACTTAAAGTAAGTAACCTCCAAGGCGTAATACCTAAAAAGGAGAGCGACAGAGAAAAAAGAAGCGCATATGCAAGTACTGAAAATAAAGTAAACAATAAAAAATGTGTGATACGGTACATGCTACACAAGTATTTGATCCGGTACAATACTGTAGCAAATATAAATACTCACTGTTTACAGTGTACACCAAAGTCTTCAATCTTGTTCAGGGGGATAGTCTGATATTCTGAGGGTCCCTCATCAGGGGGTTTGTAACCCTAAAAATCCAAAAAGGAAATACTAAGTACTTACTACAGTAATAAGGAATTAAGAATACAGAGTGACTGAAAAAAAATTATAAATATATTCTTAACAAATACACAACAATAAAATCAGTATATAAAAACGTCTCAAATAATCAAATACAGCTATGCACAAGAAGAATGAAAAAACAGATATTTTGTGATTTTACTAAAGACCAAAGAGGACTGCTGCTAAAGTCTTTGCTTTACCTTCGGGTAGGTTCTGAAGGCACCGAGGTTGACTTTCCCTGCAGAAATAGTCCGAGTGGGATCAATCTATAGGAAGCAAGATACAGTAGAACAGGAAAACAGAGTCAGGGGTCACACAAACCTCTAGGGACTACTCAAATGTGGCCACCAGGAGCCTTTTTACTGGGGCTGTCAGTGTGCTGAAAATACGCACTTAATTACATGACGCCCCTGGCATTTAAGCGCCGCTAAACCAAATGAAGTGTAAATAGCAAATGTGGTTGTAATAGCAAAATATTCATCAGTACTACATGCAAATCTACAACTCATCCATCAGTAATCTTCCCCCCTTCTCAGTTACACCCACATTAATGGGATGTGGGATAAGCTCCATTTGAAAAGTGGGAAAGTAGAAGTCACAGTTAAAAAAACAAAACAAAAAGCCATTAGCTTCAAAATAAAACTGGTTACTATTTCCCATCTTACCACAACAGCCACAAAAGGCTCCTGAAACTGTTGGTTGAGCATCTGGGTGCTGACATCTATGCCGGAGAGCCAGCATCCATAGCCTGGATGACTGTGGTACCAGCCTATCGCATTCTCCAGCCGGCCAACCTGAGGAATTGTAGATAATATAAAATCATATCTTCTTTAGGGCAGTGTAAGATGTCAGTAACATGATTGTATTTGACACAGTTTGCAGTTTTTATCCTTATCTAAAGTAGCATTTTTCCTATCTTTCCTTTTTCTTTTAAGAAAAAATATCTCCACATTCGTGTAGTCACTTGAATTCATTAGAGTATTGGATAGTGTATGTTAAACAGGGACTGGAGAAACCTCATAACATAGTACAATTTACACAAAACTTTACAATTATTCCTAGATAATATAAAAGAGTGCAAATCATATTAACCTTATAATATATTTATACTGTATTCCTGCTTCTTGGGTTGCAACATTAACTACAATAAAGTGCTTGAAAATAGGTTAGAGGTAAGTAATCGTATACTCAGCATGGGAAAAGGCAGACAAATGTGGTTATATATGGTTATCAGAATATTAATACTATCAAAAGACAGTAATGCTTCAAATAATCCCTTTATAGTTTGTAAAAATCTTATTGATATTAAGTTAAAGATTTTTCTAAAGCAGCTGAAACACTCTTCCTTAAGTTAAAAAAAAAATGGTTGTAAGCCAGTGACATTCACAGAAAGTATTAAGTTAATGTCTCAGATGAAATCAAGTCTGATTTTATTTAGGCTATAGTTCGGTTCCTTCTTTCTAAGTCATAATTCAAACACGATGCTCTTTATGTGCGTGGAAGTCAATGTCCCACCTGTTTGGCATTTTCAATATAGGCAGCCATGTATTCATAGGCTGCCGCCTGGGCGTTAACTCTGGTCTCTGTGCCCTCCACGGGCAAAGCAAAGCTGTCCATGATGATCATGGTTTCACCGTCCACCTTTCCCAGCATGAGGCCCATCACCTCCAGGTTTCCTCCAGATCTGGCATGCATTACCATCTTCAACAGGGCCAAAGCTGAGATTTTGCAGTACTTGAAGTAGTGGTGACTAAAAGGTGAACAATGACAAATGTATTTGTATTGATGTTAGATAATATTAAGCAGTGCGTATATTGTAGATACACATCCAGTTTGCTGTACTGCTACTAACATAAAGACCGGTTTGCTAGTTTGTAGCTAAGCTACCACTAATGTTCCAACAATAAACTACCAACGAACACCATTTAATACGAATACGGCAGCTCAGCAATCACCTAAATACTTAGACAGAAACCTAAATACCACAATGTTGTTTTGCACCCACTCTTTCGTCCATGGTTTCGCAGCGAGGATTTCTTGTTGTTGCTTTTTGTCATATTTGTAAATTTCATCAATGCTCTGAACTTCCTGCATGCTGTTAGACAGCTCCCATGTTTTCTGAGCCGTATTGCTCCCCGCCATGTTAATAATGTATCCAAGCAAAACCCGAGCCGTAAAAAAACCCGATTTTTTTCTTTAAATAAGGGAAGAAGTGCTGTATTTCTCCCCCAAAGATTTTGATAACGTTTTAGGAGCTGATAGCCACTCGCTCAAGGAGCCATGACAGTGAGCGATACCAACGCAACAAAGTGAAATCGACGGGGACGTTCGTTTTCATATTACACATATTTACCACTGATGTGTTTATTTGTTATATGCCATCTCTTAACACTACAACGCAATGATATATGGTGATATTGCATTCATTAATCATATTTGTATCTTATTTATTACTCTTATTAGAATATATTTACCCCTGTGACGGAAGCTATGGTTTAGTCCTGCGACGACGTCAAACTAACTTCTGGGGACGCACTGACATCTAGCGGCGCTTTTTAGAAAGGTACCTACATCTATTTGTCAGGGCTTTTTTTCTTAGAGCCTCAGCACTGTACTGGGAGCTGAAGTATTTAATGAGTCAATAAAACTGAAGCTAGTATTCAATAATTAGGCAATACTATTCTGGAGGAAGGCCGTAGCTAGTAAGTTAAAGGGCTATTAATTAGCCTAAAGGGCTGCTGGGTAAGGCTAGATGGTATCATTTTTAGACAACAGCAGTATGTTAAGTTTATTAACATGTTGTTAATAAACTTTGCCTGGTTTTATGTTGTTTAAAGACGATTAAAAAGAAACAGAAAATTCAGATCCTAGTGTTAAATATTGCAGAGTTATTAAAGACTTAACATTTGGACTATATTAGACATATTTTTCTAGAATGTTTGTGTTAGATGTGTTTGCTAGCCTCTCCCAGGAGAAGGTTTGTGTCATGGTTGCCCATGGCAACGGAATGACGCTTTGGGCTCGATGTGAAAGATCGGTCGGATAGGTTTGAGCTGTGTGTGGAAATTTAAGAATTATTGCTATATATCGTGTTATTTGGTCTTGTTATTTGTCTAGCCAGAGTTACATCCGAGCTTTAAAATAGACGCGCATGTTCATATACCCCATTATGGGGTATATAAACATTAAGTCCAGTGTTTGCCTTATTGGGTGTATTGTGTATCACGATTGGACGTTTTTTTTTTTTGAGAAGCATGAAGAAAAAACTCCCCGCCATATGTGATCAAGGACTTGCGAAGCAACGTTTATAGGTGTAAACTAATCAACCGGTGAGTAAAAACAAACAAACAAGCAAACAAACAAACAAAGGAATTCTTTTAATCACATGTTGCTTTTTAATAAACAAATCGGTGTTTCAGCGAGTTTTTCTCCACAGTCAGGGTCAGATGGTGCAAATTACACAATGCTGTAAATATGACTTCAGCAGCAGCTCTAGGAGTAAACCCCAATCCCGACAGAGGTACTGTACAAGGCTGTAGTAGTGAATTGGCTGCATTATTTAAGCCTGTAGTGTTTAGTGAATAGTTTCCTGTTTTTATTGTACAGTCTACTCTATATACCGTATGCCGTATTTCCCAGGTATTGGCTTAAGCCATCTGCTGGGTACCGAGTATGAAAGGAAGAAGCAGAAACTTCAGCGGGAGCTCCAGCTGGACTACAGAAACTATATATCCAGGGTGTGACGACGCAAAATAAATAAATAACTTAATAACTTAATAAATAAATAAATAAATAAAATAAAAATCTGAACATGTATAGATAAAATAATATATAGTTCATTTAGCCAAAACAATAGGAATTTACTGTTACATCAGGCATATAATTATATATAACCTATAAGAAAAGGTCTTAAATAAATCAGAATAGCTTATTAAAATAAAATTTAAAAAATATGCCAAGACAAACTGGCTTAGTGAGGTAAAAGATGCACAATTTAAAAAAACAAAAAAAAAAAGCAATCTCAATATAAAAAAAGAGAAATAAACAACAGAGCACCACACAAAGGCATTAGAGTATAAACCTTTTACTGAGTTATTTTCATTCACTGTTGTAATAAATTGTTAAATAGTAGACTAAACATTATATGAAAAATAATTAACCTAAAGTCAGAACATCAAGTTAGATAAAACTGGAAATCTTTGCTTTATGCAAGTGCCACCGAAGTGAAAATTTGTAGCTCACTGTAGAAGGAAAAGCACAATGAATCAGTCACAATGAAATTTCAACAGCTGATTACTTATATTAAGATAATAATTTTATGTATTGCAAGTTTTTTGAAGCTTATGCTGAATTATTTAAAAAAAAAAATTGGTGTCCGATTAACATAGATTAAATATGTGCTAATTTGCATACATATCCAATTGACAGAATGGAATAAAACACCTAAATGTGCATTTTAGACATTTCCTTTTTATTAGTGTTACATTTAAGACTTAATAAATCTTAAATCCTAATCTTAAAATTGTCTGGAACACGGGAACTTGTTATCTGGAATGACATATCAGAAATCGTTACGAAAATACATTCACCAGCCACTTTATTAGGTATACCTTCCTAACGCCACATTAGAACCATTTTGGCAATCTAAATGGCATAGATTGAACAAGATTTTGCCTTATGACATGGTGGAGTGTTTTCCTGCTGAAATCAGCTATCGGACGATGGATACTCATGGTCATACAATGATGGCCATGGTCAGCAACAATACTCACGTAGGCTGTATATACGTAGTATCATCAGTTGGTACTAAAGGGCCCAAAGTCTGCCAAGAAAACATCCCACACACCATTACACCACCACTATCTGCTTTAGCTTATCTACTTCAAGGTTCACATGGTCTTCTGCATACCTTGGTTGTAACAAAGGGTTATTTGAGTTACTGTTTGCTTCCTATCAGTTTGAAGCAATCATTGCTATTCTTCCCTTATCTCACCTCTGGCATCAACAAGACATGTTCACCCAGAGAACTACTGCTCCCTGGATTCAGACTGACCCAGTAGATCAGCAGTTTCTGAAATACTCAGACCAGTCCATCTGTCACCGGCAACTATGCCACATTCAAGTAGCTTAGATCACCTTTCTTCCCCATTCTGATGCTTGATTTGAGCTTCAGCTGATCGTCTTCACCCTGTCTACATGCCCAAATGCACTGAGCTGCCGCCATGTGATTGGCTGATTTTGTATTTGCATTAATGAGCAGCTGAAAAGGTTTACCTAGCAAAGTGGCTGGTGAGTTTATGTCTGTGTTTAACTAAGTTGCCTCTGTGTTGCATTTGCGTACACACAGCAAATCTCTTATTCTTCCTGCAGAAAACGGATCTGAAAAGTAAAGAGCCTCAACAACAACTTGATGGAGTGTCACTACCGATTGATGAGAGGATATCTGTAAAGGTGTGCCTGCATTCATTCAGTCATCAAAGTAGAGCTTTAGCTCTTCAGCTAGAACTGATACAAACTGCTGACTGCACAGTGCTGCGCGCTTCATGGCAACTGATTTTCTTTATATAAGACCGTGAACTTACAAACAAAAGTTAAGAGGGATTTCAGGCGTCTATCTGTGCACGACAAGCTGAATGTTGATAAGTATTGATGCAAGCATTTTTGAAATATTGAGGCAAAAAATATAGCCTTAACCTCATCGTCAATCGAATGTGTGCAAGCAGAAATATGTATCTTCTTTTGATAGAAGATGGTATTCTTTAAGTTTTGTATTTCCTTAAATTCTAAGTGTCACATGAGCTTAACTGAGCGGTGTGGCTGCTTGACTCTGACTTTTTGTTTTTTCTCTTGCAGGAAAAACTGAGAGAGGAGAGAAATAAAGAATACAACCTCTTCCTCCAAGAACAAGCTCAAATCAGAACGGTAAAGAGGAGAACGTCTTCTGTCAGTCCCAAGGTAAGAAGACTGATGACTCAATAGGCAGATCGTGCACAATAACGCTAGTGTGTTTGGTGCAATAATCCATGCAATTTTTATAGCACACTTTAAAGGATTCTCTATCAGTAGAAATGCTTCTCCATTTATCAGGTAGATACAGCTCACTGAGTACTTGAAAGACAAATAACGAAAAGCACTCTGTTACAAAGTAAATCTTTTTTCACATTGAATTTCTTCCTCACATTTTCATTTTCAGCCTGGACAGATTCACGCTTCAGATGGCTTGAAAATTTCTCCCCCAGCCTCTCCCCTGTCATCCCCTCACAAACATACCCACACAAACATAGTCCCCAGTCACAATGAGAGGAAAGATGCTTCCACTCTGACCGAGGTGTTCAACGATGGAGAAATCAGGAGTCCAGTTCAGAGGCGGCGAAGACGCTGTCAAATCTTCAGAGCAGAGCCCTACAGCTCTGAAGACGAGCTAAACACAGACAGAGGGGATGAGTTTGATTTGAGATACAGGAGGAGGAACGACAGGCACACTCAAGAGCCTGGGTACAAAGAGGAGATGACAGCGCAAGAGTGCAGAGTGAAGAAGTATCCTTTTTTTTCTGGAAAATGATTTGAATTACTGGTAGTTTCATCCATTACCATATAAATGAGATCAGATTGCTCCTCTGCCAAATTTCACTGTCCTGTCTGTTTCTATGGCAGGGCTTCTCAGGACATAAAGGAGACAGCGGCTCCTACAGTTTCTCATCAGAAGACCAATGACACAATTTGGAAGTCTGAGTAAGCAAGTTTATGTTTTTTGACCCCTGCTTCTAGAAAGCTGTTAATGATCTCAGCTCCTAACTGTACACTAGCAATAATGTTAGCTCATAAATGCTTTGCCCTGGGCAAAAGGTTTTGCAGCAATGTGATTTATGATGATGAAACAGTGGTCACATATAGACAAGGGCGGCCAACAACATCCCCTGGAAAGTCTCATAAATTTTCAGAATCAATACCATCAGTACCATAATTGATTATACTGGTATCTGCTGCCATATTCAGTTATTGCTCTTCAACACTTTTGCCTGCTGTTGCATTTCATTGTTCCTGAACTACATTCAGTAACCTGGTAACATGAGGTGCTGTGATAGAGAGTGAGCCTTGGCCCTTTTCCAGGCAAAAAATTGCTCACCCTAGAGTTTATCAGAAGAGCTGGATTGATGAAGCACAAGCCTTTGCTCTCTGTCTCTGAGTTATAGCCCTCAAAGCTCTGCAGCCACTGTGTGACATAAAATCGTAGCTGAGTGTGGCTTAAAGAGGAAGTTATTGCAGTGATGTTACCCTTACATGCTGTCAGTAATTGGGTGACTCTTATGGAGAGTCCCGTTCTGTTTGTGTATCTGTATTCAATAGTGTTCAAGTGCCAGCCAGCATGAAGATGGCTGCAAGATCTGCTGTCAGGAAGGATAAGGCTGATTTTGCTACTGGACTGTTGATAGGTAAAAACATTCTTACTACACAGATAATAAATGCAATTTATCAATTAAAGTCATATTTCAGAACTTAAGCAGTATTTTAATGACTCTACGTCTTGATGCAGGAATAACAGAAGAGCAGGAGACAACTCAGATGAGGAAAGAACAATACAGGCAGGAGTTACTGAGACAAATTGCTGAAAAGCAGAGGAAGAAGATGGAGTAAGTATTTATTCTCAAAATCATCATTTTTTTTTTTTTTTTTTTTTAAATGACATCAGAAACAGCAGTATGCGACATTACGTGATGGCAGAGCTTCAGTTCATCCTTTGTCATTTTTTTTTTTTTTTTTTTTTTAATAAATAGGACAGGGGGAATGAATAAGAGAAAGAGGGGGAGAGAAAGAAAGAAAACCAAAGGGGAGAAGAGACGGTGAGAAGGGGGGGAAGAGAGAGAAAAAAAAAAGAACTCCTGGGTCACCTGTATGGAGAAAAAAAAACAAACAAAAAAAACAAACAGAGGAGACAGCAAACAACAAAGAGCAACATAATAATAGAGAAAACAAAGCACCATCACAATAAACTAGCTAGTCATAGATATCAATATTTACTAAATAATAAACGATATTGTGCAGCACGCAAGATAGACAGCGCACAGTGTGCTTTGAGGCAGCAGCCAAGAAAGCTTTAGTCCGCGTCTGTGAATACCCATGTGTGCATACCTGTGTGGATCAGCATGCTTGCATTCCAAAGGTTTCTCCATGTAATGATCTGCTAGGGAGTGTGGGGGGCCACAGCCCCGTCCTCCAGGGTGTGAAGTGGGTATGGAGGAGATCAAAACTCCAGACATCCAGAGGCCCCCAGAATACAAGAGACCATGGAAGACCAACAGAGGGGTGCCCCCGGCCTCTCGGCCTGGGGGCTCGGTCACTCAGGCACAGCTGGGGGCCGGCGGAGCTCACGGGCGCGTCACTGCAACTCCCCCTGACTTCTGCTCCGCGGCTGCTGGGCGAGCCCTCATCTGGGACTCTCCTCAGCTCTTACTGGAACAGTGGCGCGGCTGCCCCTCTGTTGGTCAAAATCATCATTTTCATCAGAGTCCTTTAAGCTAGCTCAACCCTTATGATCTACAAAGCATGAAATCAAACTACTGATCGCTGGTCACCTCTCTTCTTAACTTAGAAAAGACCTGTCGAAGCTAGGTTAAGAAGAGAAGTGATGAGAGTTAGAGGGGGCAAGGATGAGATGGTTTGGACATGTGGAGAGGAGGGATAGCACATATATTGGACGAAGGGTGTTGAAGATGAAGCTGCCAGGCAGGAGGAAACAAGGAAGACCACAGAGAAGATTTCTGGATGTCATGAAGGAGGACATGCGGAGGGGTGTGACAGAGGAGGATGCTAGGGATAGGGTGAGATGGAGGCTGTTGATCATGTTGTTGAGACCCCTAAAGGGAGCAGCTGAATAAAAAAGAAGACATAGAAAACAACATCAAGCCTGTGACGTTGTTCTGTCCTTTTTTTCTCTTTAGGGAGAAAAGACTTGAGCTGAGAGTTGACCCTGAGAAAGAGGTAGGAGAATAGCATTAAAAGATCTGGCTAGCAAAACCTTTAAACAGCAGAAACATAATGTTTGTGTCAGGTCTGGATTTGTTATTATAACTTTCATAGGTTGTGGAGTCTTGGAGAAATTTCTTGAAAGAAGTACCACCTAATCTTATCCTCGATATATATGTTGTCTTTCTTTGATGATTGTGTTCTGGACCACACGTAATCTGTTCCAGCCTGACCGAATACAGCAGCTAGGGTCTGTGAATCGTCACTATAACAGCCTGAGCCAGGATGTTCTTCACAAGCTAGGAAAAGATCTAGAGGCCGAAGGGAAGCACCTAAATCCCAGTCTTGAAAATGGCAAACCCACTGAGAATGCAGATGAGAGAGCCCCCCCAGGAAAGTCCCAGGTGGACTTGATTACAGCTCTCAGACAACTGTCTGGGAAGACTGTGCCTTCAAATGGGATGGAATTACCGCAAGGTGTCCCCTCACTGGACTATTTTAGTGAGGACTACCACAGAGACTTCTCAAACATCCTAGGAGAGGTGACCATCCCAAGGTAGCTCACATTTGCTTCGATTAAATGAATAAAATTAGCAGCCCTGCTATACACTCACTGGAGTGTTGGTAACTCTGTTTCAGGGTTGCGAGTGTTGCTCCTCCTTTACCTCCCATTGTACCTCACAATTACAAGACTCCATATGATGCAGATTATTACTACTATGGAACCAGGAATCCATTAGATCCTCATCTTCCTCACAATCCAAGTAATGTAACTATCTGTTTCACAAATATGTATTTACTAAATGTTTCTTGTTTTTATCCACATTTTTTTTAGACTTATGTTGTTGATTATTGCTAGCAGTTTTTAAAGCAGACAACGACTGGTTTGATTTCAGTGTGGTGATGTTTAGATTGCTGGAGTTGAAAAAACGTGTTGCTATCCAGTTTGTGTAAAGTCAACATTAAAAAGAAACTGCAACAACCTATTAACAAAATTAAAATAAACCCTTACATTTACTGTGATAGATGACCTGCTGCACTTAACGCAACTGTCACCTCCATGCAAATCATATGAATGTCGCTTTAAGCTTCAGAAAAGCTTAAAGCAACATTCATGAAAACAGTAATGTTACTGTTTCTCCTTTTCTACAGCTGAAGGCAACATTAATGATAATACTATATGCGAGTGGTGTGTTTGGTTACAGTTATTTCTTTTCTATTTTAATATTACTGCCAAATTCCTGCTCTTTATTTGAGCTTTGTTTGTGGCAGTCAGTGGCAGCAGATAGTTCATGAAGCTCTTGAATCGTGTGCATTCTTTATCTTATATTTTTGTATTTTCTACATCAGATGGTCTGCCCGGGGGGAATCGGCAGTCTGAGAATTCCAAGATTCTGTCTCAGAGAATGCGTCCTCTCAGATCCAGTGGCCAAAATGAGTCAGTGACCTTCCCAGCACCTTTGGAGTTTTTTTTGTAAAACATGTTAATTTTTTCAGCATGTTGATGTTAATATAGATTTTATTCAGTAAAGCTGCATTAAATGCCCTCATCTCTGCTAGCAGCAACCCAGTAGATCTTTTCTCTCTTCCGGAAGAGGGTCTTCACAAACTGAATACTTATCACTACCTTCTGTACTTATATCTCCTTGCCATTTGCTACTCTGTCTGCTTCCAGAGAAACTCATCAACATGGAGCATCTGCTCTGGTTTTTGAAGAACTTCATGCAGAAAAGTCAAAGCAGAGGAGAGAGAGTGTACTGAGCTACCAAGAGACACTCAGACAGCAGGTACATTGTTATAGCTCCATGAAGAAACCACATGTTCTGTTATAGCGGTGTCATGGTTTCATCCTTTGAAAATTGTGTCTGGGGCCCAGATTAAAGAAAGAGAGGAGCACAGAAGACTAGAGAAAGAAGAAACAGCACGACTCAATGCCAAGATACAGGCTGAGATGAGGGCATACAACCCCTGGGGGAGAAGTGGAGGAGGAGGCGCTCCAATTAGAGACCAAAAAGGCAACCTTGTTAGTAAGTTTTATTGTAATGGTGTTCACCGGAGGCCAGATAATTTAATGTGTATGATCAACAGATATTAATGTAACATGTTTTAATGAATGTTTTGCTGCCTTTAGGTGACCTGAATCACATGCACAGGATCAATGAGGCATCATATAGGAATCCTGTGCCCACTCCTGGCACTGAAACTAGTTCTCCCATTTCCCATCGACTAACAGGTAATGTTATCTTCCTAATATTTCAGTGGCTGTGCATTTTATATGCTTTGTAGATCTATAGCTTATGGCTTTCTGTCTTTTCTGTTTTAAATTGTTTTCACCTTTTACAGGTTTCAAGGATGAGACACTTCAACAGCAGGACAGTTACAGAGCAGCCCTGAAACAGCAGGTAGGTCCCGGGGCCTCAGTCTGTAGATGGATGATAGGAGAGGGTACTGATGAACTGCAGGATGAAATGAAATGCTTTTAGACTTACAGCAACCTGTATTCTCAACACTTTAAAAAAGTTGTAAATTAACTGTAACTGTGCATTTCAAACAGATAGAGGAAAACAAGAGAAAACAGCAAGAGGAAAGAGAACAGATTAGAATTGAGGAGGCGAAAGAAGAGAAGAGGCTCGCCATGCAGAGGGCACGCTTACAGGAGGAATATGAGGAGGAGCAAAGGAAAGAGAAAAGGAGGACTGAGGTGATGAGCTTGTTTCTTTTATAAAGAGTCCTTCATCATTTCTCCTTCTTTATAGTTTTATCTACTCTCTGCAGCATAAGCTGAAAAACCAAGGCTGGATCCATGAAGCTGAAACACATCGCCAGAAGCAAGAAAAGGTGGTGATGCAGGAAAAAGAGACTAAGAAGGTACCTCAGACCACCAGGGTGGAGAAAGACTCACGGTTGAATTATGAGGTACAGTAAGCACGAAAAGACAGGAGTGCTATAGCTCGCTGTGTCTTTGTCAAAGAATGACATTTTACTTGTTGTCCTGCAGAGGCAGCCCTCTCCGCCTATCCCAACCTTGCAGAAAAAGCTGGCAAATCTTGCGCCATATAGGCCCTCCTCTGTTTTGAGCCAGCGGTCATCCAGAACTGTGAGTAACTCATCGCAAAGATTGCAAATATTTTCACATTTTACCCTTTATGATAACTCTATAATAAAAAAAACATGCATTCACAGAATCGCTCAGTGTCAGCACCGCACCACCGACCACCCGATGAAATTCCCAGCCAGCAGGGTAAGATTTGTCTTAACCTCTGTGCGTGCAAATCATAAACATTTATTTTTCTGATCCTTGCTCTGCCTTCACTCCCCTGTCATGCTTCAGATGATCAACAGGAAGTAATCAGAAAGCTGTCAGCCCTCCGTGGTTATCTGAGGAAAGAGCAGCGACAACTGGAGGTTCAGATGGGTCGCACGGATTCACACGAGACCCACTACAATCTGGTAAACAGGTACTGCAGTCAGGCAGCACTGAACAGCAGGGGGATGTGTGCAGGTATAACAGACCCAAAATAACAGGGATTTCTATCTTTTGTGCCAGGCTAATATTAAGACATTTAGAGACGCTGCTATGTTGAATTTAACCCAATTAACCCCCAGATGTTGTGAAGTGAAGACACAATACTAACTCTGGGCTGTTAAAGTGTGATCTTGATTTGATATTTGTAGTGAAGTATGTATTACTGTGCTTGGAAAAAATGAAGTGACCCATGTCTTTCCTCAGTGAATTGCTGTGGAGCACTACAGTAGCCATGTTGCTATTTAGAATATTCTCAACCCATTATTACCAAGCCCAGCACGATATGTCGAGTAACTGCATCCCTCCCTGCTAAATTACAGGAATGTTTTACAAGCCACTTGTTAATCTGTGCTTGTATTCAAGTTTACAGCAAATCATCTGAGAAATGCCTTTGAACTGGTGCCAGTCTCTGGGCTTTTCTTTTGTCACAGACTGCTCACACAGAAGGACCAGCGCTTTAGGGAACATAAAAGCTTTGGAATGTATTCAGCAAGTACAGGTCAAGCGTAATGCCCTCATTGTTTTATAGCAATGCAGAATTAATTTATGTCACTGCAGGGACAGTGCAGCAGGTGGAGCTAAATGGTATAGTTACTGTGCACAACTAGAAAGCATTTGGCATAGTGAACTGCTGCTACGTTTTCAGACAGACATCTGTTTGTTATTAGAGGTAGTTGTTCTGTTTAATTTGGGATTTTCCTCCTTTGCTCATGTGTAGAAGACGACCACATAGAGAATCTGCACATAGAGAAGCTGTCCTGTCTTCAGCTAGGAGTCCTTCTCCAGCTGATGCACATGCTAACAGGCAAAACATCAGGGAGTTCATCCAGCTTAAACACAGAGGTAATAAAAGACACAGCTTTGACACAGCTTTTAATGCTTCTTTGAACCACTGTTGTTCTTACAATGTACCAACCTGAAGTAAGTCTGATTTAATTTTCATTGCACAAATAATAATAGATTCAGGAATGTATTCACGGGAAGAGGCTGGCAAAGAAAAAGTGGGATAGTCGGAGAGCTGAAGAAAAGAGTACTGGAAGGCTAGGCGCACAGCAAAGAGAGAGGTGGCCCTGGCAAAGGAAAAGGCTTGTAGTGAGTTGTATGTGAGGCTGGACACTAAGGAGAACATGACTTGTAATGAATGACTAGGCAGAGAAATTGTGCTGGAAGAGATGTCCACCAGATTAGAGTGATTAAGTATAGAGGTGGAAATGTGCTAATGTGAAGAGAGTGTGTTGAGAAGATGGAAGGAGTACTTCGAGGAGCTCATGAATGAAGTTAATGACAGAAAGTGGATGAAAATGGAGTTAGAGAATCAGGAAGTGCAGAGAATCAGCAAGGAGGAAGTGAGGGCAACTCTGAAGAGGAAGGAGACGGGAGACATCGAGAGGTCTAGGAGCGAGGGCCGTGGACCTTTGAACAAGAGTGTTTAACACAATCTTGGAGAGTGAGGGGATTTCTGAGGAATGGAGATGAAGTGTAACCGTACCACTTTTAAAGAACGGGGTTGATGTGAAGAGAGTAACTACAGAGGAATAAGATGGAGAAGTGTAGAGAAGGACTGATTGAGTTGCACTCTTTGTGGATATCATAGGGTGCCTAGACAGGAACTCTGGTGCTGCATGAGGAAGTCCTGAGGGGCGGAGAAGTATGTGATGGTGGTGCAGGGCATGTAGGACAACAAGACAATAGTGAAGTGTGCGGTGGGAGTGACAGTTGGGGGGTGAAATTACATCAGAGATAGGCTCTGAGCCCCTTCTTGTTTCACTGGTGACAGAGAGGCTGACAGATGAGATCAGGCAAAAGTCTCTGTGGATGATGATGTTTGCAGACGATCACAGAAAAGATTCATGGATGAAGTGAAGGAGGACATGCAGGGGGTTGCTGTGACATAGGAGGATGCTAGAAATGGGGAGATGGAGGCAGATGATCCAATGTGGCGACCTCTAAAGGGAGCTGCCGAAAGAAGAAGAAGAAGAACAAATACGTCTAATAATGCTTTTCTTTTATTCTCAGTACTAAGCTACATAGAGGAAGTTAGTGTTTATTCTGTTTACAATCACTTTGGTCATGCTGTTCTTGTAAGTGTGGAGGACACCAAATGGTTTAGACTTTTAACTGGTGCTCTATCTCCCTTTATCTAAACCAAAACTTTAATCTCATGAGGTCATTTGAGGCCTCGGTCAGTGACGGACAGTTTGCCCATGTGTACAGTGAATCTCATGTAAGCTACCAAAGAAATGACTGGATGTGTTCCCAAACTGGAGTTTGTATTTGCTCATGGTCAGTGAGCAAATACAAATCAGTTTCACCTCAAATGTTTGTCCTCTAACTCCTCCTTCTGTCTTCCTCTGTAGACTTCTTGGGCCGTCAACTAGGTCATTATTATCCTGTAAGTGATCAGCACATTACACAGTAACTATATTCTGCACTTTCACCCTGGCAGATAATTCAGTCTTGCATGGCTTAATTTTAATTGTAGAGATTTTATTGTTTTCTGTCTGCATTTGTGTCTCCTCCCAGATCAAGAACCCTGGACGTGCCACTCACAGAAACCCCATATTGCCATCAGAGAGTTCTTTTATTGGTGAGTTTGGCAGAATATGGTCCGTCTGTAAAAACAGTCTTTCTCATTTATTTCCCTTCTTGTGTTCACATGACTGGGGACACAATAGACTTTGAAAAAAAATCCCAAAAGCACCAGATGTTTTACATAAAGGTGACACGGTTTGGGAAGTCCTCTACATACAACCTCATAATACCTTTCTACGACACTCTGTGTGCCAGGCCAATTTAGCTCTTGGTTTCTCTGCCAGGCTAACTGTGGTGCGTGCCAGCCAGCTGTCTGTGTTGCAGCTGGTGCCAGTGCTAGTTGCAAGGTGACTACGCCAGCTGCAGGGTGGTGATAGCAGACTCCCAGAGCACAGGCAATTGGTACATTAGAGAAAAAAAGACTGATGGCTTTTGAATACTTTTGAAGCTCAGGGTTTTCTCACTATTTTCATATTATGCATGGATAAACGAAATAAAGTTTAGGTCCCTACCATCTGTTTGGCTGTAAAGACATTTGCAATTAATGATACATGGCAATTGGGTTTTTGTCAGGTTACAGTGGTGAGGCACGTGAGCAGAGATCCCTTCAACCATCAGCAGAGCACCAGGAGAGGACGGCACTTAACTATGATGTATGTCTGATATGCATCTTGTGTTTTACTAAGATCAAAAGGATCACCATCATTAAGATATCAAAGCTCTGTATATATTTACAGGAGGTGGCTGACAAGGGGGGTGATAATCTGCCAGCAGTACCCAGTCACAACAACCAGAACAAACGCCACATTACGAGGCCAGACTCCCACTCTGGTGATCACAGCGTAAAAGGTAAGATGAAAGAATTCACTACAGGAAGCATTTAAATGATCAGGCTTATAACTAGTATAGCAAGTGGGAGCTAATCTTAAACACCGTATAAATTAGTGAAACATAAAAATCGTGCCACTTTATATACTTGTTGGCTTTTAGCAACATGTGCAAATTTTAAGCGTTTTTTAGTATCACTGAAAAAAAAAAATGTGATGGATACGCCCCTGTACCCTACAGACTGGCTGCCCGGTGATGAAGCGGACATGTCGTCGCTGGGCTCTGCCATGGGGAGGCGTGTCTCTGTGGACACTGTTGCCACGGAACTGTGGCTGCGGCCCGGAACGTCAGACGCTGTAAAGCAGTGAGGCTGTAGCAACAGGATAAACAGGCGGATGGGAGCTCCACACAGACTTAAACACTGCATTGCACAGCTCCCATTGGTGGCTCTCTAAACTGGAAATGCACAGCCACCTTTTCTGCAAATGCAGGTGGGGGTTCTCATGAGAACTGATGTCCTTCCTGTGCAGTGCTTTACTGACTTACACTTTACTTGTGTGCTGTTTCTATTTGCTCTCATTGGAGACCAGAGTCTGTAAAAACATTAATGACTATTAGATCACAGAAGAAACAGTTAATACAAAACTCACTGTGGCCAATTCCTCTTTACCTTCTACATTTAGCACATTAGCATTTTGTAAAGGTGGGATTCAGTTAATGAATAAAGTCATGGTGTTTTTGAGCAATAAAAATGTTACTGTAATGTTGTCCTGGCTGATCATTCTTAAACAGCTGGCAGCAACTGTAATTCAGTGATTCAGCATTTCAAATCAACCAAGTTCAAAAACTTTATTGACCTAGAACCTGATTAGAATGCCAGATGATGTATTGTACAGAAAGTTGTACATATTCTTTTGCAACATAGAAAACTTTACATTGCTGTATCATATACATTTGTTTTCTACATCCATGAGCAGGAATGCACCCCAGTCATACTTAAAGCACAGCTAACATTTGTCATTTTCTCTATACATATATCTTTCCCCCAGACCAAAGAAAAAACCATTAAATATATTATTAACTTCTGATTTTTATACACAAGAGTGAAAACTAAACTCACATGAAAACAGACTAGTGACTCAAAAAAGCAGCTAGAATCAGTTTGCTGTCGTCTTCCAGTTATAGAAGCCCCGTTATCGTCTATTTCGGTTAAAAACCTCATAACATATAAAATGGAATAATTTAACCCATCACTTTCCGCGGTCTTAGTTTAATTACAAATCGTACTGTTTAGGACAATCTGCAGGAGGTGGTACAGTCAAATAAATTATCACAAAAGTAAAATCTCCAGTGCATTTGAAAAACAAAAACAAAACAGCTCAAGTGCAGCAAATCCAGAGAAGGAAAACAAATTTAAACAAAAATAAAAGAAATTTAGTGTTATAAGATTATATTACACAACGGCAGATCAGATCTGTACAACTAGTATCATCCAAGAGGCTATCCATACTAATGTTAGCCATCTGCAGTGCAGACAGAGAGATCATTACTATCAACGTGTGACAAACGTCACTGTCATAGTTGCAGAATATGTCTTTTTGCATGTTGCTGAAACCATTCATTCTTTGTTTTAAATATACAGTAAGAAGCACACTTTTTTTTTTTTTTTATATCTTCCTTCTGAGCAGATCAGATATGGATAACTGTCAGTTGGTTATCAGTAGTTTTATCCAGTAGAGGCATCGCTACACATGGTACAAGACATGTTTTTATAGTGTTAGCAAGGACTCCGTCTGGGCTGTTTGTGTGTACAGGCGTGTCTGTGTGTGTGGTGACAGGGTTAAGGGAGCGGGTGGATGTTAACAGATAACTGACTGACAATCAGCCAATTTTAAATCAAGTGTTCGGCATAAAAACACACCGAGGCCCCTGAGGCAGCACAGAGCACCAGCACGGCCATGCGAATCTACGACGGAGGCCTCGGTAGGGCTTCGTGCTCCAGGCTGTTTGCGGTGCAGCGTCACTGGGCCTCCTCCCCAGCCTCCTCCCCAACCTCCATGTCAGTCTCTGGCTCACGGGCCTGCTGAGGCTCTGGCAGCTGTGCAATGTTAAACACGATGCCGATACGCAGGTAAAACTTTCTTAGGATAGCTCGGAGCTCGGGGATCAGGTCGAACTGCATGATCTCACACAGAAGAGGGTAGTATCTGGATGCATGAGCTTTGAACTACAAGGTGAGATGAGAGAGCAGGAAGAGACAGAGGAAGACAATGAGAAGTTAGATCTTTATACACAAAATCTACAAAGAGAAATCTGTAATGGCCCAGTCACACTAAAGTGAAAACAGGATGACAACCTCACTGTGACCAGAAAAATAAATAAATAATAAAAACAACTGACTGGGACTGAATTTAATTTTTTCGCGTTGGGTGACTAATTGCAGGTTTTTTCAGTGAATAGTTTTGTTCACAGGGTGACTTGACAGGTTGCCTTGTGGGAGGCAGCAGAGAATGTAATCACTCACAAACAAATTTGCAAAGGTTTGTAAATAAATGCCTCATTCATAAATGCACAGACTGCCAACATGCTGCTGATGAATGCAACACTCTACAATCTCTTTGCATTAGGGAACTTGACTTAACTGGCTGCCAATTGGTTGTAATCTGGTCATATATTTATATATGAAAGCAAGGTTGCAAAGTGTTTGTGTTCTTTTGCAGTCAAATTGCATCAAATTTTGTGGAGGACTTTCTGAATTTTTGATTCAGATGTATGAGGTTCTGGTTGGACTCTGAGCATAAGGTGGCATAGATGGCAACAGATCTTTCCCCCAATTTATCACAGTTCATTGCCAAGTTATCACTAACACGCTGCATGTAAATACCAATTTGACCCCATTTACTTGCAAACAGACCATAGTCTAATTCTGTCACGTTTCCATTTTATTATCATCTTCATGTGCCTCTGACTGCAATGGTTTGCAGACCAGGTCTCCATCTTTGAAGCATCTATTTCAAATGCAATAAGATGAGTTCATTTCACTTGATTGTAATAATTTTGCTGTTATCTTCAACCACCATTTCCCATACCATAATACTCAAGGAAAACATGATGATGAATGTAGTGGGATTAAGGTTTAGCCTGCTCAGTTTTGTTTGTTGTATGCCTAACAGGATAGGTGCAAGCATATGTAACAGCACACATGGCCAAAAATATGTTTGTTTTGCCTCCGACACCAACAAAATACAAAAAAAATATAAGTATTAAGCTACATCACACGTAGACTTAAAAGGTCTTGTCTGTGTGTGCGCAGCAACGAGGAAGAGCATCAGTGGGTGTTTTGGCTTCTTACCCTTTCATCATTGATCTTTAGCACCTTGGTGAGGAAGAGCAGCAGCAGGTTGGTCCACGCTTCTCTGTGGCTTTCTGAGGTCAGGGCCAAGAAGTATGCTACAGCCTCGCTGCACACGCTACACGAAAGAGAAGAAGAAATCTGGATTAACACACCGAACAGAACAAGCCTGGAAGTCAAATATGAAGTCAAACATAGAAAAGTGCTTCTGATTCCTGTGTTGTTTTCTAACGTACTGTAGCAAGGCAACATCTGCATCCCCCGCCTCACTTGTCACATGAAAAATTGCTGCGAGGATGATGAAGGTTGCTCTAGCTCAACGACTGCTAATTAAAACCCCAGACTGAGGCTGGTATGAAAACAATTGGATGTTTTTCTCCACACTTAAAGCTCAAGGAAAACTGAAGCCACCTTTTTGTCTTTGATCCTGCAGCTGCCTGACAACATCCACTTCCTCCTCTCCTCCCTCCTTCACACTCACAGCTCTCCCGCCTCTGTGACTTAATGGCCACCCAAATCTGCTTTGGTCCCTGCGCTAATCAAACTAGCATGTGAGCTGCGTGGCCTCTGGTAAACAGAAAAAGTGCTTGTGTGGAGTTCAGACATAAGCCTGTGCTGCTGATGTGGTGTTTTAAGTGACACACAGCAGCATTTCAGTGAATTAGGATCTGCATGCAGGCACTAGCCTCCTCCACCCGCATCCATTCTTATCTCCTCTCTAATAATGAATGCAACTAGGAGAGACGAGCAATGATTCTTCTTCATTTTGACATCATCATCAATATGAAGGCGAGGCAGGGAGAGAAATGGGATGACAGCAGTGTGTGAGGCGTTGAATAAAGACAGTGTGATGACAGCAGTGCTGACTGAACAATGAAACATCTTATGCGCTGATTCCTTTGGATCCAAACATCACACAGCATCCACTTCAGACAACCTCAAAGCAGCGAACATGCTGGGCCTTCGCCACAAGTAACCGACTACAGTTACCGAAATCTCAACAACCCTCCCTAATGTCATAGCGACAACAGAACAGCCCTTTCCTTCAGACGTCTTGGGCTTCATTTGACCAATAAAATAGTTTAGAACTACAAAATAAATGCAAATAGACTTACGTACACTTAGACGAAGGGTTAAGCCAGTCCTTTTCCTTATAGTCTCTAATAGATTACTATAATAATATTGAGCCAATAATAAGATTTGGAATGTTTACACTCAGCTCCACTGACTGCCTCAGTAGATGCAAAGTTACCGCTGCCCATCAGGATAGCATGCGGTCCTTACTTGAGCAGTCGTCTCTGGACCTCCTCCCAGGCGTCCCGGCGGCTCTCGTCTGTGTACATGCGAAACAGGATGCGCAGCCCACATGCCAGGCTGCTGGTCTCCTGCTTCAGGAGATTGGGCTTCGACTTTCCTTTGAAACCTTCAAAATGAACAAACGCAAGCAAGTCTTTACAGCTCAGCATATTAAAGTTTTCGAGTTTTTGTCTGTCAAACCTAAAGAGACTCGAAACAGACTTTGTGTTACTGTAATTTTTGACTACATGATCAAAAGCAAAGGAGAAAAGATGGAGCCCATGTTCTCTCGCCCTACCTGCTTTCCACAGCAAGGTTCTTTGCTCGTTGTTGGAGTTGAAAGCCTTGGCAAAGTGGTGCGAGTCCAGCAGGCAATCCAGCAACTTAAAAAGCTGCTCAGAGGTCAGGTAGCGATACATTCCCTGGTCCTGGGTCTCCACGGAGACGTCTGCTGAACACACAGCATCCCGCTGCGAAAAGACAAATGAATGATGCATTACTTTGTAACACAAAAACAAAACACGGCCGCATTTCTACGCAGGAGTGGGAGAAAACAGCTGTTTGTACCTGAGCAGCTGCAAAGTTCTCCGCATCTTCCTTCTTACTGGTGGCGGGGAAAAAGACGATGTTGTCGATGGTCTGGATCAGCTCCAGCTGCACGACGCACTTTATGAGTAAAGCTGAGAATAAACGCTGCTCCTGGATCTCTGTGGGATACGCAAGGGGGGGGAAGTTAATCAGAAAATGTACGCAGGCAAAAAACACACAGGGGTCAAAAATCCCTGAGTGAAGTGGCAGACTGACTTGTTTGGGTCCTACTCCTTGGACCGTCCTCGGTCATGCCTGAGGCTGAGCTGTACTGACTCTGCCGACGATTCTCCATCGCAGCTCTGTCGGAGCTGCTGATGGAATGCTGGTCATCAGAGCGGGACTGGATGTCCAATGACTTCTGGGAAACTGAGTCCTGGGAGCAAAGTAAACAGAGGTACTGCTATAATGCAAGAGCTGTACATGTAAATCAATCAGTTATAGAAAATCTAACTTGTGTTCTCGTTTTAAAAAGGAAAGCAAAAATGCAACAATTTCATCACCTGCAACAAGCAGAGGAAAGAAAT